CATGAAAGGTAAGACTGCACTTGCTCTGTGCTTTAGTAAGTTTAAAGTGAATTTTTCCAGCTATTTTTTAATCTGGTTTGTGTGAAAGCTAGACTATGGTCTTTTGCTGTTGTTGAGAGCTTTGAGTCTGGCAGAAAAGGTACAATGCCCTGGTGCAACAAGTGCTGCTACTTCAGTCCCCATTCCAGGATACTGATTAAAATCAGGTACTTAAGGATTTATGGACTCATAATTGGAGGAAGGAGTGCTTTTTGTAATCTTAGGGGTTTTTTTAGTCCTTTATGTAACTCGCCTGCACGTGAAGAGATCACATGTGATCACCAGGTGTTGGCAAACTTTTGAGCTGTCTTCTTATCTCATAGTTTTAATTGTGGAATAGTACTGATTATGAAGGTTTTGTCTTTAGTCCCATGGCAATGTAATGGAAGATGGATTAGAGGTTTAAAAAAAAGTGAAATAGTATCTGGTTGCCTAATTGTGTGTCAGTGCAATCTGTTTAGTTCTGGACTGATGGTGAAATTCACTGTGTTGTTGGGTGAGCAGTCAAGATGCCAGAGGTTGGGTGGCCTGATGTTCTTGGAACTAGACATGTACAGGAGTGTAGATATCTGAGGTGGGATGTGGGAGGTGCTGCTGCCTGCTGTATATTGTGGTCTGGTGTCTGTAGTAGTTTCCCAGTGGTTTGTAGGGAATTAAAACTGTAGACTAGAGCCTGCAAGTGTTTTCTGAAGAATAAATGCATTAGTGGAATCCCCTTGTAGATTTGGGATATATCCTTATTGCTTCCCGTGAGAAACTTGGGCTCCTGAGACCTGGAACTGAAAATCCTCAAAAAGTAGAAGATAGGTTTTATCAAACACACACATTCAGTGAATACTGTGTCACTTCAGGTCAGTGGAAAACTTTTCTTAAAAAAAGCCCCAAACACTTCCTCTGTTTGCCCCCCAGCCCCTTCCCAGCCAGCTGTAATGCTTTGGTTCTTTTTGGTTGATAACACTTGTAACAAAATGCATGTTTCCTGTGTCTTAACTCTTTCTGTGTTTTCTTTAGTAAATCATCAAAGGTGGATCGAAGTGTGTGACTCTGGGAAAGGGATGTGGCTGGCAGCCAGCAGGATTTTGCAGAAAAGTTGGTTTTTCTGGTTTTGGCTCAGATGCCTGCAGGCATGGCTGTGGTAACTGAAACCCTGTACTGCTTGCATGAACATTTTCACTTGCAGCTTTGACAGAGCCACAGAACTGTTGGGCAGATAGGTGGTTTATCTGTCCTAAAAAAAAAAAATTCTGTGAATTTCTATTTTCTGAAGTAAAAGCTTGGATGACAGATTTGACAGGAAAAATCTCAGGGTGTGAGCAAGGGATGAGAAAGCTCTGAGCTGGTGTTGTGCTTTTAAAGAAGTATTTGTTTGAAGTAAATGAGTGCTCAAAATATATTGAATAGAGAGAAAAAATTAGATATGTCTATGTACAAGAGAAATGTGTTGATAGGAAGATGTATTTGAGAGCTTTAGAATAACTTGGTTGGAAGAGACCTTTAAGATCATTGAGTCTGATGATTCCCCCAGCACTGCCAGGTCCCCACTGACCCCTGTCCCTCAGCACCACATCTCCACAGCTTGGAAACCCCTCCAGGGATGGGGACTCCACCACTGCCCTGGGCAGCCCTTTCAATAAAGACATTTTCCCTAATGTCCAACCTAAACTTTCCTTGGCACAACTTGAGGTTGTTTCCTCTGGTACTGTCTCTTGTTACTTGGGGTTCAAGTGGGACTAAAAAATTCATTGCATTAAAGCCAATAAAAAGCTAATATTGAATTAAACCAGTGATATCACTGCAGTTTGGGAAGATGAGGCTTGATGTCCAGAACAGTGTGGAAGGCCATAGCCAGGGGCTGCAGCTTGGGGCTGGTGTGTGCTCAGTGTGGGTGGACACTGGCCTGGGGACATGGAGGCTGTAAGACGAGTTGCTCCTTGGTGTCCATCAGCCTGGTCCTCCTGTAGCTGTGGCACTAACGTGCTGGTTGCCAGCAGTAGGACATATTTCCATGGGGTCGTTGTCTGGAGTAGCTCCACTGTTGCAGCCATGGTGTTAGCAGTGATCTCCTAAGGATGGTGTGTTAGGTGGAGTTTAAAGGTTGTGATCAGAGAAAGGGGTTGAGTGTTTTTCATTTTTTCCATTTCAGAGGAAAATAGGAGGGAAGAAGCTTTTACTTGCAAATCAGTAACAAGGAGAAAGGGATTTTATAAATGAATAACTATGTCTAAGAGCCTGTTCTTTTCCCAGACTTTCCAAAGGGGTGCTGTTAATTAACACAGATACTAACCTTTGATCAGGTCTACTACTGGTACCAAAATGCTTGGCAGAAGATTCTGCATCATGGTATTTGTGAGGCAATGTGTAAGGAAGTGTCATTTCTGCCTTCCCTGGTGATATTCACAGCAGAACTTTGAAGCACTTCTTGAGCCAAGCAGTGTAAGACTGTACTTTAATTTACAGGTGTTTGCTCCTGGGAGCAAGTCGTGATGCTTCCTGAAGAAAGTGTTTTAATTGGGAGACAGGAGATGCAAAAAGGATGTTTGGTGCAGCACACCTCTCCAAATTGTGCTAGTTAATTTTATTTGTGATCCTCTGGTGCAATACTGATTACCCTGCTGATTAGATAATTATTTTTTTTTTTAGTGTGGAAGTTTGTTACCTTCCTGACTATTGTTTCCCTGACTTCTCAGTGGTGAGGCAGTATGAAAGCTGTCCAGAGTTGCCTGCCTCACCTCTCCAATGCCAGGAAAACAACCAATTTGTTCTTGCTCTTGGATTATGTTACTCAGAAGTGAGCTTTGCACGGGTCATGCATTCAGGGTATGAACAAAAATAAGGGGTCTAACCATGCAAAGTAACTGTGTGTGTGGTGTGACTGTGCAAATCCATGAGGAGTTGGCTTTGCACGGGTCATGCATTCAGGGTATGAACAAAAATAAGGGGTCTAACCATGCAAACTGTGTGTGTGGTGTGACTGTGCAGATCCAGGAGGAGTTGTTCTTTGAATAAAGAATTTTATTCATTCACTTTTAGCTGGGGTGGGAGGGGGATCAAGGAGTAGAGAAAGGAAAACAAAAATAAGGGGTCTAACCATGCAAACTGTGTGTGTGGTGTGACTGTGCAGATCCAGGAGGAGTTGTTCTTTGAATAAAGAATTTTATTCATTCACTTTTAGCTGGAGTGGGAGGGGGAGCAAGGAGTAGAGAAAGGAAAAAAAGCATTTTGGACACTCAAAAATTCCAACAGAACATTTTTAGGAATGGAGGATGATAGAGTACACAGATTTAGTTGCAGAACGATGACTTGATATGTATTTTTCATATTCAGTTCATGAAAACTTGAGTCAATCTGTTCATTAAAATATAACTATTGACCTGCAAAAACTGGCTGTGGAACATTTTTGGTGCTGGCTGTACAGGTTCAAAGGAGGCAGAAAGCCTCTGCTTGAAGTGCAGCATCTGATTTCTTCCTATTGATTCAGGGTGACCTTTTGTCCCTGGATTTGAAACTGATGCAGCTGCCATCCAGAATACTTGAAGAGGAAGCAGAACAACTTGCTTTCTAGTGGCTTGGCTTTGCAGCTGTTTACAAACCTCTCCTAGAAGAATGCAAGGAAAAAATCTTGCTGCTAAGAGACCTCCTTCACTTAGTCCAAGGAAAGCTGCTGAACTTCAACACTAAACAGAACCTTATTTTTAGTTCTAATGTACACAAAGAGCTAGCAGGATGCCCAAGGTAATTGTACCACTAGTGTGTGGTTAAAGCTCTGTGGAACAGAAAGCCCAATTTGTGTGGCTGTATTGACAGGGAGAGTGCAGAACTGGTAGAGAAACTGAGCAGGCTGTTAAACTTTCAGAACATCTTAAATAATGTGCTGGAGGGGAGGGCAGTGTCTTCAAACTGCAGGCAGTGCTGGTTTGAAAAGCTGCTTTTCCTCTTAAAGTAAGGAAGTCCCAAGGGCACCTTTGGGTGCAAATGGGAGAGCAAGAAACTGAATTGCCAAGGGGCTTGTTCAGTTTATGCAGAGTGCTCTTCTGAGGGTGGCAGAAAGAAAAGGGGCTGGATTTGGCAACCCAGACCTGCTTTCCAGTGCCTCGCTGTGATATTTCTAGTGTCTGTGTGTGTCAATACTGCAATCCAAAGTCAATATTTTAATATGCAGGCCTTAAACTTGCTAATGAAGGTGACCCTTTGCTGCTGTTCTCCTGAAAGCATTCCAGCCTTTAGAATTGGAACAAAGTAGTTGCAATGTCCTTGGGAGCCAGCTGGCACGTGGGGTGGTTTCTGTCAAGCAGGAAGAGGAGGAGGAGGGCTGGGTTGTTGGCTCTGCACAGTGCTGGGGTAGGTATGAGAACAAAGCTTTTTGTTGCAGTTGCTGTATGTCAATGCTATAGAGCTGTGCTGTATACAGATGCCCAGCTTAACTCTGAAGTAACCTGCACCTCCTCCACGTTGATGTGCCCCTGAGACACTGATGTGCTGGGAGGACACACTCTGAGGCCAGAGATACTCTACCTGCAGCCTCACCTGCAGGGTTCTTCACAGGGATGGTCTCAGCCTGAATCCAAACCTATTTACATCTCATCTCTTACTCAGTTTCTTTCCTTCAGTGGTAGTTGTAGCTCCCTGTAGTTCTTTTTTCCTGTGTTGCTTCGTGCCTCAGTGACTGGTAGAGCAGTGTGCTGGTGAGCTCAGTCTTGTGCCTTTCTCCACATGTGTAGGTGGCTGGAGGGCTGGTGCTGCTGGCAGGTCAGAGCTATGCAAATATATGCTAATGCTGCAGTTGGCATTCGGGCCTATAGGGTTATGTAACTGCCCTTCCTCCCGCCGTCTTTATTTTGTTGCTATGGAACTATTAAATAATTAAAGCAGATGAGTTCTTTTGAAACGACAAGCCTTCAAAAGGGATTATTTCTAGCAGGCTGTTGCTGTGCTTCTGTTGTTAACGCATTTCTCTTGAAACAGGAGGAAAATGAGCCTGAAATCTGAGCGCCGAGGGATTCACGTGGATCAGTCGGAGCTCCTGTGCAAGAAGGGATGTGGTTACTATGGCAATCCTGCCTGGCAGGGCTTCTGCTCCAAGTGCTGGAGAGAGGAATACCATAAGGCCAGGCAGAAACAGATTCAAGAGGATTGGGAGCTGGCAGAGCGGTAAAGAGCCCTCTAGACCTTTGTCTCTTACAGCAGGGTGACTCCACTAACTACTATTCCTGCCTCCTGTTTTCCAGTCTGATCTGTTCTGGCTCAGTTTTGTCCTAAGTTCTCAAATCTGACCTTTCCACCAGGAAGGAAAATCTTCCTTTTGATGCAAAGATGAATATTTATCACATTCTAATGAAAAGGTTTCTAAAGAAAGACTGGGAAGTAGCAAATGTAAACACACCACCCACCCACCCCAGCCTCTCAACAAATACTTTGACCTGATTTGCATACAGAATTCTGTAATTCTGACTGGCAGTTGGAAGGTGAAGGTGACAATTTTGATTAAAGTGCCTCTCCCTCTGGAGAGCACAGTTATTGTCTTGAATATAGCCAGCCCAAGGGTTTGATATTTCAAGTACTGATTAAAAAATTTATTTTAGTCTTGTCTGTGGTCATTCTTTTAAACTGCAGGGTGAAGCTCAAAAGCATCAAAGCTTTAGCTTTAACAGTTTAGGTAATTTTTCTAAGCATGTATTTTCAGCAAAACAGTCTTGCTTTACTAGTGTGATAAATGCCTTGAAAATGGCTGTTTGAGGAAATCTGTGCTTGAGTGAGAAAATAAGATCAGCTACAACTGATTTTCTCTGGATTTGGGTAGAGAGCAAAAGCATTATCTGCTACCTGAGAAACTGCAAAGCATCCTCTTGTACTAGAGCTGTCCTGTGTGTCACTTCCAGGTGTGAGTTCCATGAGGTCCACTCAGAATTAAGTGCTTCAGGGTGATGTGAGTTCCAGACACAGGAACATCTAGCTGTGCATTAAGAGTTTTCCTTGCAGTTGACTTGAGCTGGCCAAGATGTTTGCTCATATTGACACAGATTCCTTACATACACTTACCTCAGTGTGTTAGTGGTGTATGCCAGAGCTCTCAGAAGTCCAAATGCCCCTTAGAGACGTGGCTGCACTTGAGTTTGGAACCCTTTGGTGACCTTGAGTTACCTAGTGACTTGTTAACCAAGGTTGTTACCCCAGAACAGGGTCCAGTACCTGGTGTGCAGTGAGCCAGTCTCACACTGAGAGGAGATACTCTTGTATTGAAATGTTGTGCAGGTTTGGGTGCTTGGTGGTTCCACCCAGCACCTCTGGGCTGAGTTTTTTTTGTACACAAAGTTATCAATTAGTAAATTTTCCACCAACACTGACTGGTTAGTAATTTGCATGTGATCACAGAACACTTATTCCTACTGGCATGCTCTGTGAGGAAGGGGTTTCACCTGGGCAGGGGTCTTTTGCCCTGTGGGGGTGATTTTTAGTATTGGAATGAGGCTAGTTTATTTAAGGCTAGTACTAATCATTGTTTAGCTGACCACACAAAATTTACACAAAACAACACAATCTCTAAGTGCAGATGGTTTGTATATTTTCCAGGATGTTTCTTCTTCAAGGACAGCCAACTCTTGATATGGAGTTCCTTAACTAATCATTTCTGACAACCCCAAGGATGGTCATTGTGACCTAATCATCATGTACCTTTTTATCTCTTCCTTCATATATGCTAATAGTTACCAAATGACTTGGTTACAATTCTTTAGGCCTTATTTCACAAAGGCTTATCTTGTTCTTTGTTGTTAATAGACAACAAGGCCATTGGGGGGAAAAAAAAAGAAGGATTAAAAAAAATAAAAGGCATTAAGAGCCCTGCTCACATCAGCCTGCCTCAAGAAGGTGACATGTGGAAGCTCTCTGAACTTGAGCTGAGTCCAAAGGTTTCTAAGTTTCCCAGTATCTCACTACCCTAGACCCTCTTACCTTTGGCCTTGAAGTAGTTTGTTAGTTTTTAAGGCTCTCTTTACTGTCTGACACTGGAACAGATTGTTAACCACAAAGAAAGGCAGAAGGAAGTGCTTGAGACCTTTTCTTGCCTAATCAGAAGGTGCCAGGTGACCTGTTGAGTACAGTACTGAGGACATGTCATTTTTTTCCTCTGCTATAAGTTTGGCTTAAACACTTAATAATATTTAAATATTAGAGCAGCTAGTTATGCTCTCAGTCTTATAACATCTATGTACAATAAAATGGGGCATTTAAGGAATTCTTTACTAAATAACTGATCAGTAGGGAGGTGCTAAAGGAACAGAGAAGGTGTGATGGTTGTAGTGAACAGACTTGGTAGTCAGCACAGGTAAGAGATAGTTCCTGCCTCAAGAGATGACAAAAGCAAAACCATTTATGGCTCATCCTGAGCTGGGTGGATGTTCAAAGAAAATTGTGCTGCCTCTTACCATCTTGAAGGGCAATATAATTTAAGCTATTTTAAGCCTTCTGCACAGGAAGAAAAGTAGCCCTTGAAGGATTAGTGTGTTTGTCCCAGGACTTTGTACATGCAGATTAAAAGATGGGCTTGGTCTTTGCAGAGCAGCCATCAGTGTTGCAGTGGTTTGCCCCATTCATTCAAGCAAGCCTGTGTATTACCAAGATTTGAAAACAAAGTATGTCAACAATGATCTGTTTCCCAGAGTATTTCTGAGATTGTGATGGGGTGTTTCACTCACTCAGCAGCAAACCAGTTTCTGTCTCCAGTAGGATGGTGAAGGATTGCCTGTGGCCATAGGTCATGAAACTCTGAACATGATGCAGGGAGGAACACGACTAAAGTGATTATTGGAAGTCCTCCTGCAGTCCTTCACCTCACCTCTAGCTTTGTGGAATTGAGGGCTGTGACATGAGGGGAAGGTGACCATGATTATACTCCAGTCTTTTCCCTCTTGACTTCACTGGTTAACCCTCTCCATCTTAAACTCTCCCTCACTTTCCCTGTTGCAGCATGGGAAGAGCAGACATAATGGAGTGGAGGTGGGGTAGGAAGCAAGAAATGAAGATGAGCAGCATGTCAAATGAGTAATTACTCTGTTGTGCAGGAAATTAGCTTATTTGTGCTGGTTTTAAGCACTTAAATTAGACCTACATTTTTCTAATTCCAGGCTTCAGCGTGAGGAGGAGGAAGCATATGCCAGTAGTCAGAGTACCCAAGGGGCACAGTCACTGACCTTTTCAAAATTTGAAGAGAAGAAGACCAATGAGAAAACACGAAAGGTCACTACTGTGAAGAAGTTCTTCACTGCTTCTTCCAGAGCAGGAGCTAAGAAGGGTAACTTACTCCTTTGCTTTTAGTTCTGTACAACATGTTAAGTTAAAAAGTATTTTTCATAGCTGCATTGTACTAAAAGGCAGAGTAGTGCTCTGTGACTTTAAAAAGTTGAATAATGATGCTTCTGGAGAGCAGCTGCTATGTGTGAAGACTTTCTGAAAGCCCCAGATAGCCCCTGAGCACCATGTAGCCACTTGCTCATTCTTCCTCCTGCTCTGATGGGGTGGGGAGGAGAATTGGCGTGGGTGGGGAAGTAAAACTTGTGGGCGAAGATAAGAACAGTTTAATAATTGAAATATAATAATGAGAAAGAAGATAGCAAAAAGAGAAAGAGGGAAAAAAAAAAATCAAGAAAAAAGTGATGCACAGTGCAGTTGCTTACCACCTGCTGACTGATGCCCAGCCCATCCCCAAGCAGTGACCAGGCCCCTCCTGGCCAATCCCCCTCATCTATAAGGTGGGTGTGATGGCCTCTGGTGTGGAATATCCCTTTGGCTAGTTTGGGTCAGCTGTCCTGGCCATGCTCCATCCCAGCTCTTTGTGCACCTCCTTGCTTGCAGAGCGTGGGATACTGAAAAGTCCTTGACTTGGGACAAGCACTATTTAGCAACAACTAAAACATCAGTGTGTTAGCAACATCATTCTCATACTAAGTCCAAACCACAGCACTGTACCAGCTGCTAGGAAGCAAATGAGCTCCATCCTAGCTGAAACCAGGAAAGATGCACATTCTTGCTAGATTCATGAGTCAACTGTGGTGTGGTACTGTGGTTTAGGACTTAAAAGGGAACTCTTCCTGAAGAAAGCAAAAAAGGTGCTGGCTGTCAGTCACCTCAGACAAACTGATAGGTCTAAGTGTGGTAGAAGTTCTGATGTGAAGTATCAGAGGGTGCTGCCATAGTGGATTACTCCAACAGCTTTAACAGGAAAATGGAATGTGTAAGCAGGGTGCCTTTAAATGAGAATAAATCTGAAAGGAAACTTGTAGTCTTTATGTGTATGTGGGTTGTGAATATCAAGTTTGTGTTTATTCTACAGCATGTGTTACAAGTAAGAATGATTAATGGTACTGATGTCTTTGCATAGCAATAGCTTACACAGGCAAAAACCAGAAAATGCTAGACTGTGGAGGAGGCATTCAGAAGAAAAAGCACCATGAATGTGCCTTAGCCTTGCACACAATGCAGTACCTTAAGTTCTGACTATGGATTTCATTTTGAAAATGATGCATGGGCAGCAGCTGGCTAAATGAGGCATTCACCTATGGATTAAGAATATTTTTTTACATTCATTCTTCTCACCTTCCATATTTTCTTTTTGTATCCCACTCCCCATCTCTCCTGACATGCTCCTGCTTTTGGTGTCTTGCTTGCTTTTGCATTTATTTCAGTTGCTCAAGAGAAAGTCGTTAAGCAAGGACAGCTTGGGAGGGAGCGAAATGCTGATAACATTCTCAGGGATTTGAAGGAAATTTTTACTCCCTCCTGGGAACTGGCTTCCCCTACTGAAGGTAATGCAGTACAGCTTGAGCAAGCTGTCTGCTTGATTTTAGTGAGCTTGTTTCTTAGCTGGGCTTTGCAAAATACAAACTAGGGTTGTGCCAGTTATGACTTGTGCTGTTGAATATGAGGATGATAAAAAACTCAAAAAAGTTTGTCATCTTAAAGTGAACTTGCATCTCTAAACCAATTCTTTGCTTTTTGGTAGGGAGAGTGTAGGAATAAAGGTGGAGCTTCTGTGAACTCTACCACAGCATGACATTTGAAGAATTAGGCAGTTTAAAAAAAAAATAAAATTCCAAGAAGTAGCTAGATCTTGTGCTGCTTCATATTATCAAAAAATAATTCCAGGCTGCCATTATAAATATTATTACAAGTCAAAACTACTTCAGTTTAATAGTTCACACTTCAAGAACTTTTGCATTCTCCAGACATCTCCAGATGTATGTTCTATTAAGCAGGAAGACAATTTTATGTCAAGAGAAGACAGACTGGTTTCAGTGAAGCCAAAAGGATGCCAAAACCCTTGATGCAAACAGCTTTAGGATCTTGTCCTGTGTTATTTGTTTGCAATCCTGCCATGTTCTGCTGACTAAAGAAACTGAATGATGTATCATCCTTTATTTTGGAAATTATATGAAGATGGTGGTGAATGGGTGTGTGTAGTAGAGCTAATGACAACACTGTTTTTATATTCTTCACTTGGACTCAGGTCCATGACCATGGCACAACCATAGTGAGTCACTGGAGTGCTAATGTTCTGCTGTGACAGCTAGCAGTTTTGTAGAGTGTCTTGAGAAAGATTTTAATAGTGTTTTTTTCAAAAGCTGAAAATATTTTGTTGCTCAAAGTACATTTGCTCCTGCAGTCCTTAGTAATCAGTGTGTATTGAACAGGTTCTTTTGGCTTCAATCAGGATTTCAATGCAGAGATGAATGAAGCTGCAACATTTCTGAGTGGCTACATGGAGTTCTCCATGTGGCTTGTTAAAAGGACAGTTAATTCTAACACTCAATTTTTTGTGATGCCTACAGAAACAGTAATCTGCCTCAGTTGTCTAGATCTCTCTAGGAACTAAAAGAATTACCTGTTTTAAATCTGTGATTAAAAAAAAAAGGAATCAGATTTTTATTCCTTAAGGTCAAAGAGCAGTATAAGGTTCCTGATTTTTCTAATACAGTGAACTCAGTGTTAGAAATAAGTAAAAAAAAAATCTTGGCCTGTTCTTTCTAGTGAAGTCAGCAATTAATTGTGGAAAAAATATCTTCTACCCTTTCAAAGGTGGACCTGCTTTCTTTTTTTATTATCTCAAACCTGTGCTCTCTACTTATTGGTTGTATAATACCAAATGTGACAAATTTAGATCAACATCTAGTGATGGTTGCTGTTCAGCTTGGATACTGTACAGGCATTCTACTTTGAATCTTAGGTATAAAGAAGAGTGGAGAAAATCCTCTCTGGAAAAAGTGCTCTTCTGTAAATAGAAAGGAGATTGATTTGCACTTTCTATCTTGATTGCTGCAGCTGGAATTTAAATATTTGCAAAACTTTTTCCATTCTTATCAGTCAAACACAATGAATGTTCTAATGGTGCCTGACCAAATGATTACCCAGAGAAGGTTATGCTGAAGTGCAGTCCTGTGCTTAGGTCAAACGATCAGTGTAAGTCACTAGATCATACAGCTTTGAATTCATTATAGAGCTGTATCTCTTTAAAAGCAAATAACAACAAACCAATATGCCACCTCTAGTCTAAAACATGCCAACTTAAACATAGTAATCCCTTTGATTTCCTTTTATTTTGGAGTTCCACATGCATGCTTCTTGAAACAAGGAATTTGGTTTTGTGCATGTTAGTATTTTCAGGTTAAAGGGAATGTTGGTATCATGTTGACCATGAGTATTTTCATGTTTTCTGTCTCTTTGCTGCTTGCTTTTCATCATGTTCATTTACACCATCTCTATTCAATCCTTCATTTTGAACAGTGTTGGCTGGCAAGTTGAAAGGTGGGTGAACAAAACTTGGGTAGTGAAGGTGTTGGACCAGTACAATTAACTTGCAACCTATATACTTTGGATAATCAGATGTGTTTGTGTGGCAAACCCCTGTGGTTGCAGCTGTATAAACTTGCATCCAGTGCTGTGTGCAGTCTGTGTTCCTACCTCCTTCTTGAGTGCCAAGCAAATCCTTCCTTGGACAGATGTGATGCTTCTGCTCTTGCTGAAACACCAATGGCCAAGTTCTCATTTACATGGCAGGTGTGATTCTGTGGCACCTGCTGCCTAGCAGAGAAGAGCTGCTGCATTTGCACCAACCTCATGCTCCCATTCCTTGTCCTGTGCTGCTGCTCCTGTGGGAGTCAGCCTGGGGAGCTGGTCGAGCTGAAAAATAACCCCATAAAACCCACTGATTTGCCCCAAACTGGTACTCCTTGAGCTGGTTTGAACCAGCTGAATGAATAATTGTGTTGTTGCAAGCTTTTTGAATGTAAAGGTGAGGGAGATGGAAAAGGGACCACTCCATTATCTTAAACTGCAGCAGAATCCCAGCTGGAAGCCTTGATCTTATATGGAGATATCTCACCTGGGAGTGAAAATGTAAGAAACTCAAAATCAAACTCATGTTACATGTGATTGCTGCTATAAAAAGGCCATTAGTGTAAATGGGTATGTGGCTATAAATGTTTCACTGCAGTGGAATACTCAGTTTTCTAGAGTTCTGTTTAATAACATCCAGCATTTCTCTGGTAAAGTTTGAGAAATCAATGCTAATTTGTCTGCACAGTTGAAAAATAAAAAACAACCTGAAATTTTAAGCTGTGTTAAACTCTTCCTGAATTCATCCACCAGTGTAATAAAGCTCATCTGATGTGCCCAACTTTTGCCAGCAGAGATCCAAGAAGCCAAGGCTCCCAGCCCTTCTATAAACAGGCAGGCCAGCATCGAGACAGACCGAGTGTCCAAGGAGTTCATAGAATTTCTCAAGACCTATCATAAGCCTGGACAAGATATCTATAAGCAATGTAAACTGTTTTTGGACACAATGAATCATAAAAGGGTAAGTTTTGCATGCCTTTTACATCAATAAAATGGGGAAATGAGGGAGAGATGGAGAAAATGCTGCACTTCTTCCAGCAGTTTGGGGTTTCTATGTTGTTTTCTTCTGAAGTTCTCCACTGATATACGTAGTCAAATGAAAATTAAATTTTGAGTGCCTGGATTTTGGTATGGTATGTGGCCAAAGAAGCCTTCCAGCCCCAGCATCTTGGGTATCTTAAGAGAACTTTCCTTTACATCCCAAATAAATTAGTTCTGAATAAATCCCACATAAATTAGTCCATTAGGAAAAAAAGTTTCTAGGCAAGTATGACTTGTGGAAATGATATAATGAGTTTTTAGATATCTTAAGTCTAAAAAGCTATATAAGCACCATACAGTATTAACCCAGACATCTCCTTTTCTTTGTGGAAGGAAAACTTGACTCTGTTTTTTTTTTTAAATGTAGAATAAGGGTTATATCTTCATTCTCCATGAAAAAAAATTAACATTCTTGAAATGTTAATGTGTCTGTAGTGCCACCTATGGTTGAAATGAGCCAATAAGCAGCACACTTTTTTTTTTCTTTCATCTTTCCCTTACCTTCCTTATTTTTTATGTAGTTACTCAAATTATGTCCTCAAATTGGACTGGAAATGAAATAAAGTTCTGGTGAAATCTTACATACCCTCCACTTTGAAAACATCTTGAGGTTGTTGGTTTGGATTTTATTTTATTTTTTAAGAACTGATTCATTCTGAGCATAGCATTTATGGAAATACTGTGGTGTTATTATTGGCTATAAACACTGAAGGTGCACTCATTTCCTAGTTACTTGGTCATGTGTGCTAGTCAAAGTCTTCCTCAAAACACACCATTTGGTACTACATGTAAACCAGGCCTAAAGTGCAACACTGCCACCAGAGCTGAGACTCTGTGTTCAAGGTAACTTGTCTAGCTTTTGGCCTTACAATTCAGAAGCTAAGTGCTCTCTCCACTTTTTTAATCCATGGTTTTATGTGGCCATTTAATGATGAAAAGTGACTTAATTGGTGAAGTTAATTTTAACCCTTTAAACTTCCATTATGTTCTTTGATAGCTCAGTTAATACCCAAGAGGCAATGTTGTTTCATTTCACAGTAACTTCATCATTAGAAGTGTTTATGGTATAGTCTTTCAAATTATGACTTCTGTTCTTGGTTTTTTTTTATATGCTGTATATCATCTTCTAAAGAGTTAGAGACAAAATTTGGAGCAAGCATCTTGCTTAGAGCAATGTTGTTTCATTTCACAGTAACTTCATCATTAGAAGTGTTTATGGTATAGTCTTTCAAATTATGACTTATGTTCTTGTTTTTTTTTTTATATGCTGTATATCATCTTTTAAAGAGAGACAAAATTTGGAGCAAGCATTTTGCTTAGATTGTCTACATGGTTTTGTTGTGGTTACTCAGGGATGTGTCTGTGGAAATGGCATCTGTCCAATTCCATTGCTGATATACTACTGTTCAGCAAAGAAATGTAAGTCTTTCACATGGTGAGGAGCCAGTATGTCTTGGTTTCTCATATTTTTAGGTGTAGCTTAGCCAACATAAACAGCTCTGACAATATGTTTGCATTCTCAGAGTGTTACTGCAGCTGGACACTTTGGATAAACAAAACCAAAACATCAAAGGCATTGCTGCCAGTTCTTCCACACGTGCAGACAGACTTAATCAGCTTTCTGTTACAGGACTTGAGTATTGAGGAGCAATCTGAATGTGCCCAGGACTTCTATCAAAATGTAGCAGAGAAATTACAGACACGTTGGAAAGGTATCATGTTCCTCATGTCCTAATGCTGGAAAAGTAATGATCTGAGGATAAAGCCTCTTGTATTTTCAAGTGAAAACAAAGAGGTTCTAACCAGCTGTCAGAAACACTGTTTACAAATCCTAGTACCACAGAACTATTCTTAGCAGCTCCAGTTCTGTAAAGGTTTGCAGTCTAAATTACTCCTTTTTGCAGGTTTTCCTTAAACTCTCAACTAAATGTGGTTCAGTCATTTTCATTTCTTGTTTTAAATTCAGTACCATTGTTTGAATGCACAGCCTCAGCCCAATTAACAGGCTGGGAGCCATACCTTACACTGTAAGGCACCAGAAGCCAGTGAGAGGGGAGTGTTTCTGTTGTGAGCTGCTTTTATGTGCCTGGTATGTAGGCACCAAACTGATAATCTACCAAAGAACCCCAGAGTACTTTATTTACTGTATTGGGGATGGGATTTGTACCTTTCAGTGCCTCCTGAAAAAGTTGAGAAAGCAATGGATCAGATTGAAAAATACATAATGACTCGACAGTATAAATATGTCTTTTGCCCTGAAACAACTGATGATGAGAAGAAAGATCTTGCTGTCCAGAAGAGAATCAGGTAAGGCTTTAAAAGAAAAATCACTGACTAATCCACAGTCCTGTAAATGAGCTCTGAATCAAGCACATTAAAAATCATTTGCTGTGCACACAAAATAGCAAGTTTTTTAACCAAGTCAGGGTTAAAAACACTTTAGTTAAGAAACAGAAGGAATGAATAATGAAAGCTGCTGCACTAGTAAAAGTAATTGGTTTGCTTTTGTTAAATTACAGCAAAAATAAAAAGTATTTTTTTCTGGAAATAAATTACTTCAGTGGAATAAACTAGTCTATGACTGGAGCTGTGCCTCATTTACACAAAGCTTTCCTTGTGCCTTGAATTCAAGGAGCAGCTGGTGTCAAACACCTGAGTACTACTGGCACAGAGTAGTTTAACATCTTTTCCTTGTTGCAGGGCTTTGCACTGGGTCACTCCCCAGATGCTGTGTGTTCCTGTCAATGAAGAGATTCCAGAGGTCTCTGATATGGTGGTGAAAGCAATCACAGGTTGGTGAATGGTGATGTGAAAAGTAAAGCTGTAAATGTAAACATCTGTTGCTCAGATTATTTTCTATGTTCATCAGAAGGGGGTCCAGGCTTTTAGATTTGCAGTAGTCTTTGTGGTATCAGACTGGAACATCACCTGTGAAGTGGGAATAATTCTTCTCTCCCAGAAGTATTTAGGTTTACCTATTTGAAATACTTGGACTGAACCAAGACAAGGCTGAATGAGCAGATACTTTTATGGAACAGCAAGCACCACAGATAAAAATGATGCAATATTAGGATTGTCCAGTAAGAGTCCTACTCATTCAGGTGACTGATTTAATACAGTTTTAATGATCTGAGAACTTTTTTATCTTGCAGATATTATTGAAATGGATTCAAAGCGTGTCCCTCGTGATAAACTAGCATGCATCACCAAGTGCAGCAAGCATATCTTTAATGCTATTAAAATCACAAAAAATGAACCAGCTTCTGCTGATGACTTTCTTCCAACACTCATATACATAGTTTTGAAGGGGAACCCACCCCGTCTGCAGTCAAACATCCAGTATATAACACGCTTCTGTAACCCAAGCAGGTTAATGACAGGAGAGGATGGCTACTATTTCACCAACCTGGTAAGTGCAGGAGTGTTGGTGTTCTACACAAGACTGTCTTTTCTTTGGATGGAGGAGTTTCCAGTAAAGACAAGCACAGTGTTAACACAGAATCAAAATAAAAACTAATCCTCAAATAGGAGTTGAGGTTACGTAGAATACAGCAAACTCTTTTTACTTTGTATCTCCTCTCTCTTCCTTCTCTGCTTTCCAAACCAGACAGTGTTTTACTTTATTTATAATATGAAACCCTTTTTGTGAACAATTTGATGCTAAGACTTGGGTGTATTTTTATTCTCTAATGAGTTAAGTACTTTCTATTCCTAAAACCCTGAGTTTGGACTGTACAGATGTTATAGATGTGGAGTTGCCCATTTAAGCCCATGAGAGTGTCTTTTGCAAGGACTGCAGAACCAGGCCATTAATGTGTGGAGGTAAACAGGCATTTTAAAGCTTCCACAGGAGACATTTAGTGGTGTGCTGGTTTATATTAGGAAGAATTATTATTATTATGAACTTCATTTCATGGTAAAGCAATTCTCAAGGGGAAATGTGCCGTTGAATGAAATACATGGAATGTTAGAAATTCCTTTTAGTAGGAGGAAGGTGTCCACAAGGTAAGATGGGCATTAGACATTGTCTAGTGGTCACATTCTTTCTGTTTTCTCATCTCCAAAATGCAGTGGCCCTGAAGTTTGTAGGACACATTATCCAGTGAGGCAGTTCTGTCCAGCTGAAGTGGTGTCTCCTGTCTCTTCAGTTTCTTCAAACTTTAAGGAAAGAAGCATATGAACTGTCTGTTATAGTTAGCTTCTAGAGGCAAAGCTCTTTAGGAGCTATCTGCTGAGGCATTAAATAAAATAATCTGTTGCTGATCTAATGGCAGGATAAGAAACCAAACTTGTACATCCCAGCTTGTGGTGATACTCCCTCTGTGTTTTGTTTGCAGTGCTGTGCTGTGGCCTTCATTGAAAAACTGGATGCTCAGTCTTTAAATCTAAGCCAAGAAGATTTTGATCGTTTTATGACTGGTCAGACGTCCCCAAAGAAGCAAGAACCTGAGAGTTTTTCATCTGATGTGTGCCTGGGTGTTAAGCAAATGTATAAAAACTTAGACCTCCTATCTCAGTTGAATGAGAGACAGGAAAGAATTGTCAGTGAAGCCAAGAAGCTTGAGAAAGACCTAATAGATTGGACTGATGGAATTTCAAAGGAAGTCCAAGATATTGTTGAGAAATATCCATTAGAAATAAAACCAAAAAGTCAAGCCTTAGCAGCTATTGACTCTGAAAATGTGGAGAATGACAAGCTGCCCCCACCACTGCAGCCTCAGGTTTATGCAGGATAATTATCAGTGTTAATTTTGAAAAGTATTCTTTTCCTCACCTAGTACTATTTGCTACTTGGGAAGGGAAGTAAATTTAAGGCTAAAAATCAGATGAGCTTAAATCAGTACATTTTTAAAGGTACATTTTTTTGGTTAAGTGTAACGAATTGTATTTATTTTAGTCAAGTAGATTTCTATTAGGCTTTTGTGGGTTTTTTGAACTGAATTTCAATTTTCTACACAAACCAGTGTAATTTTTAAGCAACACTAGTCCATTGACATCTTTCCTGAAAGCTTCCTTCTAGGCATGCACTTGTTTTTAATAATTAGCTTAACTTGAATTCAAGTTCCAGCAGAAACTTGAACGGTACCAACATCAGTCTGAATTTATTCTGTAGCTGTAAAGATGACATATATATTGTAAAATATGTAAAATTGTAAATAGGTTTAAAATCTAATATCTCAGCTGTGCATGATATCTTGTGTGTGAGTGAAAACATAATGTTCATTTGAGCACCTTTCAGTTATACCACGTTGCAGTATAAAGGCAAGTACACTGGCCATGTTTCAATAAGCTGGATGGTGTAACTGATGATGTACAGTCAGAGAGGACATTGTTGTAATGGTTTGAAAACTTGACACTCCTCTTGAAATCTGCTCTGTAAAAGAAAAACCACCACAGTGCTATTTAAAATGACATTTCTTCATGTAAATGTTCTCTCTGCTCTTTCAGCACTCCCGCTAGCCCTCAGTGGTGCACAGAAATGCTGATGTTACTACTTTTGAAGAGAATGTTGAGTCAGGCTTCAGAAATAGGAAGAAAGACTTGTATGAAAAATTGCATCGTGTGGAACAAAAAGGGGAGGGGAGGAGACAGTGCAAGAGTTGCACCAAAAGTGGCGTTCTCATTTGGTACTGCCTAGTAACTCCCATCAGTAGGCTGGGTCTTGATTTGCTTTTTTGACAATCCTGGTAAATAAGTAAGTTCATATAATTAGAGGCTGCTTTTTAGAAGCATGACCCATTGCTTGGAGCAGAAAAGTGCACTTTATTTTCACAAAACATCAGTCTTCTGATCTTTAAAGACCCTCTTTAGGAAAGGGATTTAACCTTGCTGAAGCATCAAAGGCCAAGGTAAATATGGCTTTATGTCACTAAAAGTTTAGATTGGTGTATTTAAAGTTAATAATAGCTCACTCTGCAAAAAGTAACCTCTTGCAATATACATTTTTATGCCAGGGAAAATTTTATATAAATAGATATATATAATTTTAAATATCTTCCAGTTAATCTAGGCTGCCATCACTTCTTTGTGTACCTGAGATATCTAACATAAAGCTGCTTAGCTCACACTAGTTTTAAGCAATGTTAAACTCTTACCATCCAGGAGGGAAGTACCTACCTCTTTATCATGTTCCACTGCTTTGAAAGCACTCCTATTTTAAATTTGCACTGCAATAATTTCAGACCACAACTGTGATTTGTCCCTTTTTGTCAGATGTATTTAGCCTTATGAACTATGCACTCCTAGTGTTTCAGAGAGAACCAGTTCCCCAAAATTCCACTGCTGAGGTGGAGCAATGGATTGAATGATCATAAGAGAGTAGATTATTTAATCATGTGTCAGTGCACACAAATTGCTTAGAATCTGACCAGCCCTTGCAGTTACAATACTGCAAAGTCTTTCCTTTCCTCATAAACACTAGGTGCTAATTCTGATATCCAGGTACACGTTTTCCTGGGGGGAGGGGGACAAACTTTTAGCTATTGTGTAAATTGCCATGTTTAAATAAAAGTGTGTACCTTATGGCCTTGTTAATGAGTTCCTAACCACCTCGCCACTGCTTTTTGTTATGCTGTCAATGATTAATGTGAATATAATTGTGACTGCTGCTTCATTCAGTGTTTTGGGAGGCAGAATTTTTAGCCATTCAGGTGCAAGTTTAGGTAACAATGTCTTTTTCTTTGCAGAAAGATCATTGTAGTGATTAAGTACTTAAGAACGACTTGCTGGTGCACTTGTACTAAAGTGTCTCTTATTCATATGCCATCTTGTTATCAAGCCAGTAAAGTGGGAGTGTTTTGAGCAAACAAAGCCTCTGAATCCCCCATAAGGCAGGTAAGATGGATTTCCATACCCCATCTAACAGCGGGCAAGCAGGAGTGGTTTGCTCCTGGCCACAGTGTAGCCTGGGTAGTAACAGGCACTGGGAGCAGCTCTCACAGAACTTCCATCCCAGCGTGTGAGTAACTCCCCTGCTTTAAGGCCTTGTCAATATTTTATGAGGCAAATGATCTGTCTGTAGGTAAAACGGGCAAATAGTTTTGTCTTGCTTGAAAGTAAGGTAGCTCATTGCCCTAGTAACTGCAGAGTCGTATCATTACAGTGTTTAAGCCATCACTCACAGGAGGCTGGGAGGTGCTGCTGAACTGGGAAAATACCGGCTCAGTTCTGGGCTGGGCTGCTCTGATGGACACCCTGGGAACTGGTACCAGATCAGCTCAGCACTGGGCTTTGCTGTACAGCAATGGGCTGGTCCCACAGGCAAGTTTGGGAGAAGGTACAGGCAGTGACACAAAAATTCACAAAGGAGTCTCTATGAAGAAATTACTTGTGAACCAAAAGGTTAATTCAAAAAAACTATCTTAAAATGAATTGGAATGGAGGCTGCTGTGCTTTGGTGACAGTCACAGCATCAGAAATAGTTTGGTTTTGTCAACAGCTTGCTGCTAGATCAGTGTCACTGAGAGTGAAGACTGCAGCTTACTGGGAATGGGACCTGCCATCGGAAACTACTTTGCACATGAACTCCGTGTTCATTTTGCTGTAGTAAAGAAGGTATTTCACAGGAAGCACTGGTTAATTAAACTGTACAATGCCTTTGGTTCCACGTAACTGAATTATGCAATTAAATTGGCTCTTTTATCCAGTTATCCTCAACACTTAGAGATTCTCTGGTGTATTTTCTCGCGTGGCTGGGTATCTCACGCCTGCGGTGGGGAGATGCTGATCCATACAGCTACTGCTATGTAACAGCAACCTGTGAGAAGTTTTAGGAGGGTGGGGGGAGGAGCAGCGACGTTCTGTCTGATGAAGAGCTGAGGCTCAGGTGCCGTCATGGTTGCGACCCAGTTTGACACTTCATCTGGGTACGGAGATGAACGTGTCGGTGATGCTGGAGGACAGCGATCACCGTTGCTGGTAACGTTGCCTGGTGTCCCGGCACAGGAGGGCCTGGCTGTGGGTGCCTCCGGTGCTTAGACAGCTTGAGCCTGTGCGGGGCAAGGCCCGGTGCCCTCGGGGCCGGCAGCGCTCCCCCGGCCCGCCTTGCCTCCGGTGCGCTCCTCCTGCTCCTCGGGGGTACGGCTTCACATTCTCCTCTCCTGGACTCTCTTCCAACCAGAATGTGGAGCCAGCTGCTTTAAGGATTTCGTTTTGAGCGCTGTCAGGTGTTGGACGCCTCTCCTGTTTTAAGAAGAGGTGGTTTTGGGTAGCTTTTAACGGA